CAAAACCCCCTACAAGAATCCTTTGAGCAAAAATTTTTTAGGGGGTAGTATTTAATGAGTATTTGTGCATTGGCTTTCTAGCTGGTTTACATCTCCAGAATCTCCCTTTCCAAGCTGCCATCAATAACCTCTTCCTTGTCCTCTTTCAGCAGCCAACAGGTTCCTTCTCTGAAGCATGGAGTCTCTGAAGCCTAAACCCTTCAGAGTCTACGGGCCCTGGTCCCGGAGGTTAAACCTTTACCTTTGGGCTTAATCAAACCCTTCTCTCAACACAGGTAGGTCTCTCCCTAGGGGTAACTGCATACTAGCTATTAAGAAAATATTAGGTTTTGAATTGGTATGTAAGGGGGGAAAAAGGAACTGTGAACATTCCACTGAAGGGAAGGTGGAAAATATTACCTGCAAAGTAGTGAAAACCAGATTGACTTTGCCATTGAATAATCATCTGTAGACTTTGGAGAGAAAAGGTTGTGACCATGAAATTTTATACTGAGTCAATTTTAGTTCATGTGTTAAGGTAATATATTTTCAAGGACTCAGAAAATAGACCTTCTATGAGTCATTTTTGAAAGAAGTACTTTGATATACTTCCATGGACTGAGTGACAAGTCAAAATTGAGAATAACAGGGAAGCCATAATGTAAACATCAGAGGGGGATCTTTCACTCAGTTTAGTGACGTCGGGACCTCACGTTCAGGAATCGAGTTGGTTCTGTATTCTCGGGGGGATTCTGCAACTTAAGGGGCAGCTTGCCCCTCAGTGCTTCCCTTAGCGAGACTGTTCTCTTCCTGCCTCCCTTCTTACCCAGTGACACAAGGTGCGTTTCTCAAGTGCATTCTTCACAGCACGTTATGGATTGATTTCGTGTTGTGGTTGTTAACTTGTTGGTGCTCTCCTGTTCAGTACTTGCTACTAAGTAATTTAGTTGAAACACTATGTCAACAAGAATTATGTAACAGAAGCCAAGTTGCATAAAAAACCATAATGGCCATTTTCACTGCCAAATAAATTGAGAAATGATTTTCTACATCCTGACAATTCCTCTTGAAGAATGAGTCATGTTTTTAAAAATTGGCTATGAAGAACAAAATGACTCAGGGGCAATCTATTAACAGTCATGAAGCCCATCTTCTTACTGTTCTTCTAAGGAATGATCTTACTAATTATGCTTAGGTAGTGCTGGATCTTTGACTGAGCTAAACAAAGATTCATGTTTGGATGGGTTTGCTGGATGCATGTGTCCATGTGTATCCATCTACCTGAATCAGGCTGTAGTGAGGAAGGAAACTGGAGAAGCAGCTTTGTGTGTGGGCACCTGGGAGAAAGCAGAGTGGATGGGGAGAAACTTCCCAAGGGGATGGAAAGAAAAGCATGGTGTCTCTTCCATAATTTGCCTGCCTTGTTAACTTGGTTTCAGCTCTTGAAAAAGAAAGGGGCTTCAGGTAGAAACAAAAGTTGATTTCAAGAAGGAGTTTTTGAAACTTGGGGCCATTAGAACCCAGGAGACTTGAGCTTCCCCTAGTCTGCATTATTGAAAGTCACCAGCCTATATGAGAAAGTTGAAATTTCATAGCTTAGTCTCCACAATATGACTCTGTATGCCTTTCTATCTCATTTTATCTCTCCTGGGTGAACCTTCTGCTGGTCTACCACAAGATCTGAAATATCTTGCCCTTTCTTTCCATTTTGGATGAGATTTCCCCCCTAGCTCATCCCTTTCATCTCTTCCCTTCAAAAACAACCTATCATTTAAGGCTCAGCCCTAGGACCATATCAGATGTGTTCAACAAGCACATGGGAATGCTTGATAAAAAATATAAGTATGCCAGATACTGTAGGACTCCCAACTAGAAAATGTGCAGCCACTGCCCTGGAGGAAGAACTCACTGGTAGTGGGATTTAGGCAAGGACACAAGTTACTACAATGCAAGACAGCATCACACGAAGTGCCACACAAGGAGGAAATCTGTGAGGTGCAGAGAGGGAGGAGTGAGCTCTGCCCCGACGCTGCTTTGATCCATGTTGACATTTTCCTTCCTTGAACTGCTGTTGCTCTTATTATTTATACCACCGATTTTGGCCCTTATTCTCTATTTCCTGTGTGTTTTATGCATGCGTATTTTTCCTTAAATACCTTAAAATCAAGGGAAAGCCTTAAATGAATTTTGTTTTCCCCCGGAGCAGCCCAAACAGTGGGGTACCTGGGTTATGTGGCACTGAATTCCAGTTTAGGTGGACTACCTTACTGTGCCCTGGCCATGGCCTTCTGGTGCCCAGAACTCCTACTGGATCCCAATAGTTCCTACCGTTGCTTCCTGTAACCAGGACCAACGGGTGAGGGATGGGGCTGAGGGGCAGGGGTTGCTAGGGGTAGGTCTTTTCCCTTTGGGGGCTTGGTGGGAGGTGAACATAGCAAACCTCCCACCCCCATGAACCGCAGCAGTGACACGCTTGGGAACATGGGGACAGGGGAGAGTTCTCAGGAAAGAGGAAAAGCTCTCACCCTCTTGCCAGGGACTTGGTTTTTAACCTAGCTCTTTCGTAGATGAATTCTGAAAGAAAACCAATAAAACACACCTAAGCCATCAAAAAACAAAAATTAACACAAAAAACCAAAAACTAACAGCATGGATGACGGCGGTGCCACTGGTTCCACTAGAGGGCTGACTTTAAATGCCCCACGATCTAAAAGAGAGACTCCATCAAGCCTCTCCAAAGCGACAGTAAGCCTGGTGAAAGCAGCCAGCTTACTCTTCGATCTCCAAGACTGGTCCCCGGCTCTTCCTCTCAACCAGATTGCCTCCCTAGCTTCACACATGTACATTCTGATGCTCTTAAGAGACTGACTGTCTGCCTTTTGAGCCATTATGTTCTCCATCAAACAACTCTTGTCAACACTAGGATCTGATGGCTTAGGAAATTACTTATTTTCACTTCCTTTCTCACCTCCCTTATTCTGGTCAGTGAGACAACAGTATGCTGTTCTTAGAACCAAATCATACGGTTTCAGATCTTTACTTTGCCACTTAATAGGCAAGTAACTTTGTATCTCCGTGCCTTTGCGTTCTCATCTATATGGTGGGAAAAATAATGCTGGTACCCGCCTCATAGGTGTGTTATAAGCATCATGAGTGAACAGAGTTAAGATGTTTTGACAGTATCTGTGTAACGTAACATTTCCCAAGTGCTCGCTTGATCCAGTTTTTAAGTCGGGTCTGCACTTACTTAAAGTGTACACATATTTTGACACATGCATATACACATGAAACCATCATCACAATCAAGACAAAGAATCTATCACCTTAAAAGGATTCCCTTAGAAATTGCTTCCTCCAGCCCCTTCCAACTCTCTCAGACCAAACCACTGATCTGATTCCTGCCACTGTAATTTGCATTGCTTAGAGTTTTATATAAGTGGAGTCATACAGTATGTATTCTTTTTGTCTGGCTACTTTCACTTAGCATAATTACTTTGAGATCCATCCTATGTTGTTCCTTTTTATTGCTGAGTAATATTCCAAAGTATGGTCACATACCATGATTTGTTTACCATTAACCTATTTAGAGACAATTGGGTTATTTCCAGTTTTTGGCTATTACAAATAAAATTTCTCTGAACCTCTGTATACAAGTTTCTGTATGGACAGTGACTTCCATTTTTCTTGGGAAAATACTTAGGAGTGGAGTAGCTGACTTATGTGTTTAACTTAAGAATCTGCCAAACCTATTTTCAAAGTGTTTGTACCATTTTATATTTCCACTAGCAAAGTCTGAGTGTTCTAGTCCCTCCATATAATTTGTCAACACTTAGTATGGTCAGTCTTTAACTATTCTAATTGATGTGTAGTAGTGTCTTGCTGTGGTTTTCAATTTGCATTTTCCTAATGAAGAGAGACGTGGAGCATCTTTTAATCTTTGGTGAAATATCAATTTTTTGGTTTAGTTTATATCTGCATTTTTGTTTCCTTATTATTTTTTTTTAAGTTGTGGTAACAACACGTAACATGAAATCATTCTCTTAACAAAGTTTTAAGAATGCATTGCAGTATTGTTGACTATAATCCAATGTTGTACAACAGATCCCCACAGCTTTTTGATCTTGCTTAATTGAAACTATACTCACTGAACAGCAACTCCTCATTTCCCCTCCTACTAGCCCCTGACAACTACCATTCTATCCTCTGTTTCTATGAGTTTGACTACTTTACATACCTCACATAAGTGGAATCATGCAGTATTTATCCTTCCATCACTGGCTTATTTTATTTACCATCATACCCTCAAGCTTCATTCGTCTTATTGTATGTCACTAGAATTAAAAGCGATTTACACACCACTGTTACAGTCTTACAGTATTACATTATTCTTATTTAGCTCTACTTTTCCATTTCCCAGAAAGTTATATGGTTCATATGCTTTTGTTTTGCTATTTAGAATCCTTTTGTTTCAACTTGAAAAGCATTTCATGTAAGACAGTTCTAGTTCTGATAAACTCCTGTTACCTTTTACCTTTGTTTGTCTCAGAAAGTCATTATTTCTCCTTCATTTTTGAAGGACAGTTTTGCTAGATACAGTATTCTAGGTTGGCAGGGTTTATTTATTTTGTTTTCTTCTAGTACTTTGAATGTATCATCCAAGTCCTTTCTGCCCTGCAGAGTTTTTGTTGAGAAATCCAGTGACAGCCTTATGGGGATTCCCTTGTACATAACATGCCACTTTTGCTGCTTTAGAAATACTCGCCTTGCCTTTAGCTTTTGACAATTTGATGTAATGTGTGTCAATGTGGACTTTTTATATTTATCTTTTTGGGAGACTGTTGGACTTCTTGGATCTGGATGTCCATTTGTTTCCCTATATTTGAAAGTTTTGGGCCATTATTTCTTTAAATAACTTTCTGCTTCTCTGTCTCTCCTTTCTCCCTCATGCTGGGATCCCCACAATTTTGGTCCACTTTATTGGATACCATAAGCCTCTTAAGCTTTTCTTTCTTTCTTTCTTTCGCTCTTCTGACTGGGTAGTTTCAAATTACTTTTCTTTGAGTTCATTCATTTCTTTTTTTTTTTCACTCATTATTTCTGATTGCTCAAGCCCACTGCTGAATCCCTCTACTCAATTTTTCAGTTCAGTTATGGTGTTCTTCAGCTCCAACTTTTCTGTTTGGTCCCTTTCTATATTTTATTCCTCTTTGTTTAAATTCTCATTTTGTTCATACATTGCTATTCTGAGCTCACTGGGTGCTTTTTATGACAGTTATTTCAAATTCTCTGTGAGGTAATTCATAAACCTCCATTTCATTAGGATCAGTGTCCAGAGATTTAGTTCATCCCTTTTTGGGGGCCATGCTTCCCTCTTTCTTTGTTTTCCTTGACTCTTTATATTGGTATCTGCATTAGGGGAAACAAAAACTTCTCCCAGTCTTCCCGGACTGGATTTACACAGGAGGAAAGCCCCACCGATCCAGCCCTTCTAGAGAAACTGAGGAGGCCTCACTGATATGCTTTGTCTTCTCTGGTCTTGTATCTGTAAATTCCCATTCAGAGGGATTTTCTGTTTGTTTGTTTTTTTCAGAATTTCATAGTCTTTTTCTTTCTCTGGTGTCTGTCTGCTGCACCACAGATCTTCTGGAGCAGAAGCACAGCCCAGGATCTATTTTTTGTTGTTGTTCTCAGTGGTCCTATTATCTAGACTATGTCAAGTTCCATCTGAGACACGTGAGACTGAAGCCAGCCCTCAGGCAAAGTCTGCATGTGTCTTCTCTTTCCCTCCTCAGGGATAAACCAGGAGCTGCGAGTCTACCTGATTGGACTGTGCTGAGGCTGGGGTAGGGGCTTTGGTGGGTGAGTACATGCTAGTCCAAATTTTTCCTTATTCTCAGCAGCCTCTAGGCATCTAGTGTATTCTGGTTCTCATCAGCACTCAGAGACAGATAAGACAGAAGCCTGTCTCTTGTGCAGCTCCCCCAAAGTTGGAATGTTAGATGCATGGACCATCTCTTTTCCTCCTCAGGGAGAAGCTAGGATATGAGGGTGTTCACTTGCTCACTCTACACTGAGCCAGAGGAGGGTCTGGAATTAGTTTCTTTATTTGAACATTTAAAATATCAATAGTTAGCTTCCAGCACTGTTTTGAAGATTGAATAAGCCAATGGGCATAAAGCTACTTGCCATGCGACATATCCAATAAATGTTACCTGTTTCTATTTTTGTAATTGTAATTATGTTGTCAGAGGGGCAGGCTTGTGCAACCAAACGTGAAAGCATCAATACTCAGTATGGAAATACATATAAAATAATACAGCTGTCTTTGACCTTCAAGTCTGAATAGTGCATTAGGTATTCATTTATCCACTCATTCATAAAGAAACATACATAACAGGAACTCCACTCGGCATTAGGGATTACAACGAAGAATAAGACAAAATCTCAGTCTTAGGGCAGTCAAGGCATATATATGTAATTGTAATACAGTGTGGTAAGGGCAGTGATTAACAAACACAGGGTACTTTTGGAAGTTCAGAGAAGGAAGCACATGCACCAATGAAATCTTCCTGGCTGAGGTGAAACTGGAGCTGATTCTGGAGTAGGTGTGAGCAGAAAAAAGAGAAAAGGTAGGAAGAGGAAAGGTTTCAAAATTCCTCTGTCCAACCAGTTCAGTTCAAAAGCACAATGATTCCATGCTGTATTTAATTTAAAAAATTCTACTACTAGACGTTGGAACTGAGCAGAGTCCTGTGGTACCCTCCAAGTGCAAAGCCCCTCCATGCCCCCTGCCTCTTGTTTGTAGAAAAGCCGAAATCTCCCAGGCCTCCCTGACTTGCAAAAGGGCAACTTCAAGTAGTTCATGGTTAGGGCAACAGAGTCACAGAATCTTTCATTGTCTGATGCACGTTCCTGAGTCGTTTTACAGCTACTATGACTGCCACCAGAAGGAAAAAGCTAACTGCATGGTGACCAGACTGTGGCCGTGACATAAACCTGCTCCTTCGTGAGCAGCACTGACTCCGTGGCCAGCACAATTCCAGGAACTGGCCTCAAGAGATTAACAATGTTGCTCATAATAATCTATATCTTTGTGGGCAACAAAATAATTGTAGCTTGCTCTGCTCGTGTATATTAGGGGGCAAATAAATGTTCAGCAAAGAGATGCTAAGACCCACAATGACATCTTCCACTCTGAGAACACAGTGCCCTATATCAGCACAAAGAAGTTACAGAAGATGGACATTCATCCCTCATCCCACAGAACTGGAATGATGTTTGACAGTGGGGAACTGAAAGCAGCTCCTTTGCCCCTTTCCTGTTTGCCCATTTCTGTTCCCCTCTAACCCTGAATGAACCTAATTATGGGAATGAGATCACGGCAATCTAAACTAACTCCTGACTTAGGCTCTCCTGAATGCACGCCATGCCCTCCTTGCCTAACGTGCTGACTCTTTAATTAGATTAAAGAAGTAAGAATGAAGAATTAAGTAGTTTAAAAATGACTCTCTCCCCTCAACCGCCCCCTTAGCAATCCTGCAGGCAGACCACATGGGTGAGATAGTATCTTGAGAGGAAAGGCAGCCAGCCTGTACGCAGCGGTGACTGACGTAGAACCCAACCTCCTGGCTCAGTGATTCACTGATAATCTTCCCTCGTCTTCTTCCCTTTAGAGACTGTCATGGCTAAGCAGAATCTTCAGAGCTGGTCTCAGGACATGAGTCCACTTCTCCCCAGGTTGCCAGCTTTTCTGATTAAAGCAGTTTTCCTTTCTATTGACTCTTGCCCCTTGATTAATGGATTTTGAGTGGTGAGCAGCCGAACCTGAGTTCAGTAACAAAGTTATTTGAAACTCACTGGCTTATTTGAATGATACGTAAAGAATAAAGTATTAAACGATAATATAAAAGTGAGGCAAAACTTTAGTTTCGCTGGGAGTGGAACAGAGCAAGAGTTGCTGTAAGCAGAGTAACACATGTATTTTCAGGAACATCCTGGCAGGGAGCTCAGACAGGCTGCTACCAATGATGAAATTGCTTAAGTGGTGTCACATAGTCCTTAGATTTGATAGTGCAGGAAATCTGGAGCCAAGTGAAAGCAATTCAGTTCCTCTTGTATAAAAGAGGGACTCTACAGGACATAGGAAAGACTGCTCACTGGACTAAGACTGAAATTAGAGCAAGAAAACAGAAACTTAGACTCAACTCTCAGGGTATTATTTTTAAAATAATACACATTGGGAAATTTCTGATTGTATCACAGTTCTAACCACCACCAGCACCAGAATCATCTGAGATCCTTATCGAAAATGCAGACTCCTGGTTCCTACTACATCAGAATTTCGACAGCAGGGCTTAGGAGTCTAATTAAAGATGAAGAACCACTGACTTGTGTAGACTTGTTGGTCATGTAGTGAAAGCCTTTATCCAACCCATGGTACATCTTAATTACGAGGATTCAGAGTCGTTTTCTTTGATACCCAGAAGACCTCTGCCGTTTGTGGATTCAGTAATGATAATTTAAATTACCAAAGAGAGGTTCCAAATAGTCAAGGCATGTAGCCATCGGGAATTTTGCTGAGACACAAAGTATAGCTCATTGGGATGAGGTCAGCAGGTGGACCAGCAGTCCCAGCGTCTCAGAATCACTTTGTAATTCTTTTTCTCAGTGTGCATTTTGCAGGAGGAATTATTTGCTAACATTGAAATTATGATTTTATGAATCACAAAGGTCTCAGAGCAGGTGCTACTGAACTCAGATTTGGCCGCTTGTCAATAAAGCCAATAATTTGAGAGGCAAATGTCAGGAGAAAGAAAAGGTGTCTTAATCAGAAAAGCTGGCAATCTGGGGAGAACATGGACTTCTGTCCAGAGACCAACTCCAAAGATTCTGCTCAGCCACGAGAGTTTTTAAAGGGAAAAATGGTGGTGGGGAAGCATCTCAGTGGATCAGGGAGGCAGGAGGTTGGGTTCTGCATCATTCTCCACTGTGTGCAGACCGGCTGACTCTCTCTTCAGATGTTATCTATCCTGCATGGCCTGCCTGTGGGGGTAGAGAGCTCATCAAAGGATCAACAGGTTAGGCAAGGTATGGTGTGTATTCAGAAGAGCATAAATCAGGAGTAAGTTTCAATTGCTTAGTGATCTCATTTCTATAATTAGGTTCTTTAAAGGTTAGAGGGAGACAGAAGTGGGTGAACGGGAAAGGGGGAAAAGCTGCTTTCACCTGCAGGGGTCTCCTTTGATCTGACACTGAGTCGTTCCTTCTCTCATTCTCCAGAAACTTCTTAAAGTTTACCATGCTACTAATTGCCATACCGTTGATTTATTTTAAAAAAATTAAAACCTGAATTCTTTTTGCCCTCGGTAACATTTGGCTCAGGTGACTATTTTCAAACATCCTCCTTTTTTGGTATGTATCAGGCCATCTCTTGTTTTCTCTCACTGATTTTCATTGCTCTTTCTTTGCTTCCTGCTCCTACAGGCAAGTTTCTGTTCTCATCCTTCATTTTCCTCAGAGATTTCATCTATTCCAGCGACCTTGCTGTGCACCCGTCTCAGCCTATTAATAACCGATGTGATTTATTGCTGCGGTTTTTATTATGATCTCAAGATGCCTTTCAGCAATATTCATCAGGGAACTTCGAAAAAATGACAGTTTATTGCTTATGGGACCTGGAAATCACACAGCACACCTGGAACCACACAGTGAGGTTGTGAGGTGGGAGAGGAGGGAGAGAGAGAGAGAGAGAGAAAAACAGAACAAGCAAGCCTGGATCCTGTTCTTTTAGGGATGAGGGTGCAGTCCTAGGGCTTTCCAGGCTCACTCTTTATCGGTAATTTTTAAACATAAGTGCAGGACTTTAAAGTAAGGAAAGAGACAAAGCATGCGAGCCCGAAGGCCAGTTACTGAAATCAGCCAAGATCTCCGGAGAAAAGGAGTCTCGGTGCAAGGAGGTACGTGGCTCTTATGTGGTCGGTGTGTGTTTATTCGGGACATGTCTTTGAAGCGGATGCCTCAGCCATGAAAGCTTAAGTCAGGCACTTGCATTACAAAAAAGAAAAAAGGAAACAATTGTCAGGGTTTACGCTACAGAGCTTAACTATGAGTTGTGCAAATGTATTTCTAAGTCTGCAGCAAGGGTCTTGATGTTATTTCCATTCTAGCATTAAGTTTCTATCTCCTAATTCATTTATTCAATCATTTAAAACTATTTAACAAATACTTTTGGCTTCCTGTCATGCGCTGGGATGTACTGGAGTGAGTAAGACAAGGTCGCCACACAGTCACACTCAACATCACGTCCCCTGAGGTAACACAACTCGTCAGTTCTGCCAGCAATGTGTCTTCCACTTATCCAGGCACAAAACCTTGGACTTCCGTTTGACTTTTTCCATTTTTTTACACCCCGGTTCTAACTGGCACTAAATCCTGTTGGATTTTCCAGTTCTCACTGCTGTCATACTCAGTCCACACCTTCTCACCCCTGGAGCCTGGCAATAGTCTCCTAATGGATGCCTAAGATGGAAGAGGCTTTTGTTCTCTGCCATTTTATTTCACCTTCCACCGTAGACTTATCCTCCGAAAGCATAGGCTTCACTGTGTAATTCACCCCCATGATCGCACATGACTTCACCGAAAACAGGCCAAATCCATGAACCCGGAGTCCAAGGCCCTCCATGAGCTGACCCCATCTTCCTTTTCATTCTCAAGTATTGTTGTCACCTCTGTTGATTCCTTCCAACTTCTCCTCCCTCGGTCATCCTCAGTTTAGTAAAGGGCCACTCCCTTCCTCTCATTCCTCAGGACAAACACCTTCAGTTCACTGAGCTGACCTTCAGTTTTTCATCTCTGCTTCTAAACTGTCAGCCAGTCCTGCCGGATCTGCCTTCAAAATATACCCTGAATCTGACTCCTCCTCATCCGCAATGCTAACACACTAGTGGCTCTCACCTGGACGATTATAAGAGCATCCTAAATGGTCTCACACTTCCTACTCCGCTCCCTACCCAGCCATCCACACAACACACACCAGCCTGAGGGATCCTCAGTCAAAGAAAAGAAATTAAGTTATGTCACTCTTCTTTTTAAAGCCTTCCAATGCATTCCTATCTCACCCAGAATACGAATCTAAAGTCTGTGAACACTTCTTAAGGGACCCCCAGAGGCCACGGCGCTTGGCTGCCTCTTAGCCCTTGTGCACCACCTTCTCCCTCTTGCTGTTGCCATAGGGCTCCTCCCCTTTTCTCTTAACGTGTCAGCCTTACTGACTAAGGTTTTGCTCTTGCTGTTTTCTTTACCTGTACCATTCTGCCCCAAGATAGCTGCACAGCTCACTGCCTCGCTTTACCCCGCTCTCATCAGAGAGGCCCTGTCTGACTTCCCTGTCTAAAACAGCACTCTTCCATTACGCCCCATCCCTTCTCCCTGCTTTGTTTTCTTGATAGCACGCATCACCACCCGATGTATCATTTTTGCATGTATAGTCAGCCCTCTGTATCCGTGGCTTCTGCATCCTTGGCTTTAACCAACTACAGATAGAAAAATTACATCCCAGAAAGTTCCAAAAACCAAAATCTGAATTTGCTGCATGCTGGAATAATAGATTGAACTCTTAAAAAATCTCTTGTAGTCAAGAAGCCAAGCCAAAGTTCAAGCTGTTCCTCCAATCTGTCTGGTCACATCTGAGTCTATACATGCATATCTCTCTCAAATATGATACTCCAGTCAAAGCCTTGCTGATAGAGTCAATGTTTCCAATTATGTTCTGTTACAAGGAGAACAGATTCTTACTGAACTTAGCAAGTAACTGTTATACCATGAAAAGAATACTTAAGGAGTTTCCAAATTCTGGAAAGATTAGGGAGGAAGAAAAGTAAATGTCTCATCTCTGTTAACAAAGGCACATCTTACTAAATTCCTGACAGCTTTAAGAGAAAAGAGAGAAAGGTTTCCTTAAATCTAGAAAAACAAAACATAAAAGAACCAGCCAAAAGTCATAAAAATTATAATCATCTTTATCATTTCATTTAGCCTGTTATTAATTCTCATTCTGCTTGCACTGTTTTTCCTTTAATTCTGGAAAATTTTACCCACTTCAGTTTGTGATCTAAAATTATCATCAGAAACCTGTGTTCTACAGTTCTACAGTCAGCATTCTTTCTATGAATTTTTCTGATGATCACCTTTGTAGGAACACTTTTGCAAAGGTGTTATAGTAAATAATCACTATCTGTAAATGACAAAAGGCTTAAAAATGCCCATTACTAAAGATCTGAAGAGAATTCATCATGATGGAGCTGACAAGGAAATCAGGTTATTTCTGTGACACAAAATTTCAAGACAACTAGATTTATGACTGATAACATTATGGCAGGATGTATCCGAATTTTAGGAATTTTATACAATTCTAGGACACATATTAATAACAGTCACCCATTTAATATAAGCTATGGTTGATCAGCACTTATTTGACAACGCTTCCCATTTAACATACCAAATAAACCTAACTACTGTAACATCTCTCTTTTCATAAAGAGAAAGAATAAATCTTTTGAGACGGAAAAAGCCAACTTAGTTCACGGTCCAAAAGACATTACTTAGAATTTGAATTTTGGAAAGTTTGTCAAAAATATCAAAAAAGATTTTAAAACACTTAGTCAAATACAGGATCATAGGTCACTGAGAAACAATAGTTAGTTACCTACTTAATCAGAGTGACAGACTTCACAGGCAAATAAAGAGAATTATATACTTCTGAGTAAAACTTAGCTGTTTTTAATGTTGAAAAGACTCGGTTTACTTAAGTAATCAAAGGCCTGATGGTAAGATAATGTGCAGCACAAGAAATTATTTTGATAAAACACATCATCTTTGTCTTCTGGGCACATTAGTTAAAAGATAAAGACAAATCTTTCACACTCTGTTATTATCAAGAGCAGACCAAAAGTCCAAGAAAATTTTGTAAAGAAGAGAGAAAACCAAATTATAATGTTGGACGAGCTTATTTTTGATATAAAATCTCACTTAATTAATTTCAATTCATAGGCAGTCTTTACTACACATAAAGTTTCTTTTCAAAGATTCCTTTTCCACAAATCTCCAACTTTTCTTTTGCATCATATTTTTTCCTATTTTCTCCTTATTCCCAGCTTTTCTTTAGGACAAAATTACTTTCTTTTCCTTTAACAAAATGCATTTTCGTTCCTTATACTTATTTTACTGAAAACACACATCTTTTCGTATATGGAGATGTTTTCCTTATTATTTTGAGTAGCTTCAATCACATATATTAGAATTATTTTTAACCCTTAGGAACCCTTAATTTTTAGTGAAAAGAAGTAAGCAGTTGTAAACTGTCCTTTATGTTAGCATTCTATGGCTGGACAAATTTATGCTTTTTTGTAATTTCTGGAAACATGTATTTCTTTATAGTAAATTTCTTAGCTTGGCACAAATATGCTTATTAGTAGAGTCAAATAACTCTAGTTTCCTCTGTGAAAAAGGAAACCAAAAGTGAATAAATGTATGTTCAGTAATTAATTTTTCAGTATTTTATATTATTTAGAAGTGATCAAAATATTCAGTAAATTTCCATCATTTAATTTAACTTAGCAAAGTTCAAAGGTTTTAGGTTATCAAAAAGATTTGGGAAAATTGTAAAGTTTAGGTAGAAACTCTTATCTACTTAATTTCCTTGTTTAGGTTAAGCTACTCACAAGAACTTCATGAAACATTAGACAAGGTCAGACATCATCCAAAGTTATTTTTCTGGCAGACAAATTTTGTAACAGAGACAATAGAACCTTATTTGATTAGTAAACCCAGATAGAAAAGAAGTTTTATATTTATCATTGATAACCCTAAAGACATGCACATTTTAATTAAACCAACAAACTTAAACTAAGCTTTAATATTGAATATTTTCCCAGATCATGTGAACCTGAAAAACACTTGGGTTAGTCTCTACCTTATTTTTTTGAGAATTTTTATGAATACTAAATTTATAT